TCCGCCTAGCCAGAATACATCATCCCTCCCCCTCAGTTACATTGTTCAGAACTTCTCTCTGCCATCCTTTTGTCTTGTTAAGTGTGTCTTCTAGCCAAGCCTCCTGGAATCTAGTGCCTACCTGCAGGGCTTGGCTAATCCTTCTATTGTTAATCAATTGTGACCGTTTTATTTTTAAACTTCTTCCTTTCTCACAAATGGAAGAAGCAGTCACAGGCTGCGGGGCCTAAAAGGCACTCACTCACCCCCATCTATCTCTTCAATCCCCCCCCACACGTCAGACCTTATTTACAGCCGGATGTCTTGGCAGGAAACAGCCTCTGGTCCACTGGAGGCCCAGCTGGGAATTGGAGCAGATTGGCCCAGCTGGTGCTTCGGTGGGGGCTCAGCAGTCAATCCAAGGGAGGAGGCTGGACCATAATCTAAAATTCATGATGGAAGAAAGAGAAGGCAAACTCCTTCCCAATGGCTGGCTGCCAAGGAAATTGGTTGATATTTGAGTTTGAGTTCCTGTGGTCATCAGCGGTATAGATCCTCCCCATTTCCTACATCCTCATGGAACATCCGGGGATTCACCCACCTGCCAAATGCCAGACGATGGAGCCCTTTGAAAGGGCCCTGCAGAATGCCCTCCCTGTGCCAGGTGACTGCATGGCCCTGGAGCAACCAAGGCTCGGCTGGGTCTGGGATCCAGAGCCAAGTGCCATCCCTCCTCCTTTCCACCCAGATCCACCTGTGCCCTGCCCAGCCCAGCTGAAGGGGGCACTGCCCCAAGATGGGAAAAGAGGTCTACAGCAGGCCAGCCTTGCAAATGGCAGCCTGGGGATCGTCTCGGCATAGTCTCAGAGTAGCTCTCAGAGGCCTGCCGGCCTGCCCATCCTCTTCAGAGAAGAAGGGAGCTTGTGCTCCTGGGTGGGCAGAGCTGCGACCCCTCCCTAACCAAAGTCCACTACCGCAGTTGCCACTCCAGCAGGTGTGACAGAGATGCCCTATGGCAAGCAGGCACAGGCTAACTCTGCCAGGCCTTGGCTTAAGCCCCCCCTCAGCTGCGTTTTGGACTGTCGTCGGCCTGAACTCATCATTTATTTATTTATTTATTTATTTATTAAATTTATATACCGCCCTATCTCCCTTGCGGGACTCAGGGCGGTGAACAGGCGATACTAAAAACCATGGTAATAAATAGTTTGTTTTAAAATCGAATTAAATAACGGGCCTGTTCTAAAAACACACCCGTAAAAAACCCCCCACTGAAACATAATCAAGCTACGCCAGGCCG